TCACTTTCGCGAACGCTTGCGATCAATCTGCCCAGTTGGTGGAATGAACTCCCTTAGTGCATCAGAACAGCAGAGCCACTCGCTACTTTCAAGAAACGACTAAAAACTCAACTATTTAGTCTCCACTTCACTTCCTAATCTGCAATTGCCTCTTTGAATATCACACTAACTGAACAAAAACAAAAAAAACAACTAATACTACTACTTCCCTTCTTAGACTTTACAGACCTGAAACTTGCCTTTAGTACTTATTCATTGTTGCTCTTAGTTGTGTAAATTGCTTCCTTGTCCTCATTTGTAAGTCGCTTTGGATAAAAGCGTCTGCTAAATGACTAAAAGTAAATGTAAATGTAGTTATCTCTTAAGAGCGATCACTATCTGTTCACTAGCTACTACAGCAGGGGAGTTCTCGAGATCTACCTGAGCTCAAACTCCCCTCTCACCATGCAAATGGGAGGGAGCCCCGGGCTCGAGGATCAGTTGAGCTCAGGGCTCTCTCCCGGGACAGCATGCCGAACAAACTTTATAACCAATCATCAGCTAAGTGTGAACTCTTGAAATAGTTGAAACTAACAGAAGAAAGCGCACTTCCACTAAATGCTTAGTCCGAGTTGCACCTGGAAACTGTTCAAGTCAATATATCGCTGTGACTAAAAGTTTGCTACTTCAACAATGTGGTATTTCCCTCTAATCAAGATTATCCAGCAGTAGCAGAAACGTATTGAATCCCAGCAGTGCAGTATTGATTTCATAAGAATGAACTGGAAGCATTTGTTTCTCTTTTTTTTGCTTGTCTATTCATTGTCTTGCCTGGAGGCTTGCATTATACGCACGTCTCTAAAAGTATTTTGATTCATTTTACAAACGGCTCTAATCATAAATTGTGTTAAACCTGAAGCGGTCATTTGCAAAAGGTCAGTTTGTCCACAGAGAGAAGTTGAGCTTGCATGTGGATAAAGGTTAGGGAGACTGATATTATTGCGAGCGTCTGCAGGTTAGAGAAGCTCTGCTGGTTTCTGCTTGATGCACAGATTCGCAGAGTCAGGTTTTGTCATTCTGAGGGCAAAATGAGTTTCATTTTTCCCACAATTCCCCTTTGATTCTGAGCCATGAGCCCACAGACACATTTAGCCTAGTTTTGCTGAGACCACCTTAAACCTTGAAGCTGAATTATAGTCTGGCTTTAGCTTGAGAGCTGCAGCTTATAGACGTTTACACCAGAAGGATAAATCTCTTCAGCATTGTTGCAACTTAGTCACAAGTTATTGTTTTTAATTATATTCTTAATTACAATTAAGCTCATACCGTATATCAGAGGGAAAAATTGATCGTCTCTAAGCTAAAGAGTCCCTAATGAGAGTTTGATGTCTAATGTGTGTTTATCCGGCCTGTAGCAGCTTCACTTTGGGCAGGAGTGTGTTAGCGATTGGATTTCAAAGGGCCTTAAAATGCAGTAGCCATTGCTAATGTTGTGTGAGATTGGCCTGCGGTCTGAGAGAGAGATGGAAATCAGACTTCTGCACTTCCTGTCAGTTCTCTCTCCTGCATTAAACAGACTAAAGAGATGAGATTTATAATCCCGTTCTTTCTTTCTTTCTTTCTTTCTTTCTTTCTTTCTTTCTTTCTTTCTTTCTTTCTTTCTTTCTTTCTAAATTAATTTCATGTTCTAAATACACTCACCGGCCACTTTATTAGGTACACCTGTCCAACTGTTTGGTTGTGTTTATAAGATGCAAAGCAATGTGTGCTTATGTTTCACTTGAAGGAAATCACATATTTTTTTTCATTTATCTCACTTTGATTATACACAGCTACTCAGCTAACATGAAAACGACTGTCATATTTCCTAGTTCCTCTAAAAGGCCCGCCCTAAAGTGACTGATTGGTCATTCATTTTCCGCAGGATTCCGCAGATTTCTGCAGATTTCTGCAGATTTTTAGCCCATCATTAATTCTGTTTTAAAGTAAATGTGTAAATCTGAATTTATTCAGTTTTTATTCAGTAATTTATTACGTTTTATTTCATATATTTAGGTTTTAGTTATAATACTCCGCTGGATACTCCCAAAATTATCCGCAGAAATAGCAAAAAACGCCTGCAGATATCATCTGGCCCTGCTAATGACTGATTATCCTATCAGATGATCCTTAACTCTCTATAAATAACCAGACTTTTCTCATCTCAATATCTTCGTCTTAAAGAACACCCCCCCCAGCCATTAGCGATGTTGCCTCACAGCAAGAATGTGAGGCAAACCAGGCAACGTTTCTGTGTGGAGTTTTGCTTGTTCTCCCCTTGATCGCGTGGGTTTTCCCCGGGTTCTCCGGTTTCCTCCCACAGTTCAAAACAAGCAAAACACAAAAAAAAAAAAACCTAAACACACTGTAAAAAATAAATCTGTAAACATTACGGTAAAAAAATGGCAGCTGTGGTTGCCAGTACTTTACCATTAAAAACACGGTACAAATACAGTAAAAGTAATTTTTCATTCTTACGGTAAATTACCGTATTTTAATCATTTATTGAGGTAATATGTCTGTATTTTGAATGATCAACATTTACACATCTTTTTTTACACAGTAAGACACGTTAGCACACCCACATGCAGGTGATGATGAGGAAGTTACATAATGAACCAAAGCTCATCACAATCAACTTTTCCCACAAGCAGAAAAGAGGATCAGCATATAGAAGGTGCTCAGTGTCATTCACACAGCTACTAAACACCAGTATGGTAACATGCATCAAATTAAAGTCATGAAATCAACATTGTTTATCAACATTAGATGTAACATAAATCTCTAATGTACATAACTGATGGGGAAACAGCTAAAAAGATCCATATTAATGTCAACCAAATGCATAAAAAGTGATATTCCATGCAGGGAATTCTGGGAAAGTCCATTTACGGTTATTCGCCGTATATATTAAGGAAACATATCGTTAACCAGGTTACGGATTTGTACTGTAGCATTTTTACAGTTTTTTACCGTTGAAATCACGGCCTTTTTTTACAGTGCAATTAATCCAAAATATTTCAGCCAAACTCTGAGTACACCTTCTCAGCATCCATATCTGACACTTAGCTACAATAAGCAGGAGGGGGAGTCATTGAGATCTACCTGAGCTCAAACTCCCCTCTCACCTTGCAACGGGAGGGTGCCCAGGGCTCGAGGATCTTATAAGCTCAGGGGTCCGTTCTTCATACCTCGCTTAAATGATCTAAGATTATTTGGCAGATCCTGGATCTTTTAATCTTGATAACTGATCTCTCGCTAATTTGGTTCTTCAAACGAGTTCGCGAATCAGATTAGAATGACTGGATAAACTGATCTGAGATCGCTGCGTGTGTTGTGGACAGATCTATCCTAGAAATCATGATCAGCAGTGCAACGATTGGCTGACGGCACAGTAGCGTAATGACATCATCTGATTAATATTCAATTATCCATGTGAGCAAAATAACATCAAATTAGCAGTAAACGGCTTGTTAAATATGACACGCAATAACCTTCCACATTTGTTGTGAGCTGCAGGCTTTACACTTTCATGTGTCAAGAGTATTCATCATGTATTTCAATGCAAATCAATGTATTTAGTTCTACATTTAGAAAAGATTTTCTTTATTATAGTAGCCGTTTTTTAATCGGTGTAATGAATAACTGGTTGTTTACAAAAGCATTTTCATATTGGTAAAGGCGTCTGCAACTTTTGTGAAGCATCAAATCACCGGCATATTAACTATCAAAACATGTTTATGACTGCATAAATGTATTATTGCTTTAAAAAAAGTCACATATTGTGCATTTCTATTATACACAACTTGTACTAAAGCCATCTAAAAAGTTCATATCAATAAGTTTTCTCTTTTCACCACCAGGTGGCAGTCTTTGTACTTTCATTTCGAGGGTGCAGATTGCATACGTTTTATTAATATGTATAACTTTATTTATTTTATTAATGACTATAACTTTTATATATATAGTTAAAAATATTTACTATTTTCCCAAGTGTATATAACTTTTACTGTAAGAAAATATCAGAACTCGGTACATACTTTCTGTATTATCTTTGCTTGAACTGAGCCGATCTAATCCTGTTTATATGAATTGAACCTGCTCCCGATCAGGTTTGACCTAGCAGATCTGTTGCCATGACAACAACTCTCGGATCAGCTTTGAAGAACGAAACGATCCTGGATCGTGTCAAATCGTCAATATCCAAATCCAGCTAACTGAGTAATCCACGTACGAAGAACGGACCCCAGGGCTTCCTCCCGGGACAGCACGCCAAACTAGCTTCATTATCAATCATCAGCTAAGTGTGAACTCTTGAAAAGGCTGCTCAAAGTGTTCAACAATGAAACAAAATTGCCCAATTAAAACACTGAAGAGAAGTAAGAATATAATCAAAACAAGAATATGATAATACAAAAGCTACTCTAAATATGTAAGTAAATGAATAACCTGAATGATGTGCTCAAGATGAGTGTTAAATCTATCGTGTTTTCTGTGGGCAGATTCTCTGTGGGCCTACTGATTGCTCAGTTCAGTTTGAGAAGCAGTTTTTGGGAAGCAGCATCGCAGACACTGAAATAATCACATAGATCTGGATGAACATTTAACTCACCGATAAGTGACGACTTCTCGCCCCAGTTCCTGAATGCAGCAGATGTCAACGACTTGCATTTCAGGGTCAAAAGAAAGCAGCACTGGAATAGTATGTGGGTTTGGGCGAAGCAATTGAACCAGCTGAACTGAATGACTCCACTGACAGTCCATTTACTATATAGCTTTCCATTCAAAGCTTCAGCAAACAATCCGTCTGTACACTGAGTCAGTCAGTCCAGAGGTGTTTATATAAGTCATCTTCTCTCTTATTTCACTCTGGCCTTTAAATCATAAAGCTATTTTCTCCTGTCTGAAGGTCACGATTGCATTGATGCTTGACTCGTGTCTGTCGGCAGATTTTAAGTGCTTGTCATTATGTGTTTCTGTAGGACGATTACTTCAGAACCTGGAACCCAAACAAAGCACAAGACCAAGGTAAGAACATTGAACTGATACGCCCGTGTTTCTTCTTCATGTCTATTTTCTCTGTTACTCTTATCCATTTATACCTGACCCTGCAGTCTCGCCTCCGTCTCTGCTTTTCTTCTTTATTCCTGCTGTATTTCTGCACCCAGATTAATCATAAAAAAACCTCCAATCATATGCTGGAATCTCCATTTCACTGTATCGATCCTCATCTCTGCTGCAGACATTAATCAATACGGAGAGGCAGAAACACTCACACATAGCTAAATGAAGACATATCATCGACTTCTATTGTTTTTATATCTGGCTAATTCTAATTAGACCAAACCAAATCGCAGAAGAAACTTGTTGCCTTTGTAAAAACACTACCTGACAAAAGTCTTGTCGTCTATTCAATTTTTATGAACAACAAATAATAACTTGACTTGTAGGGGATTATTTAGTATCAGAATTGGCTTATATGAAAGGTAAAGGCCTCTAGATTATGCTTATTTGACCAAAATAAAATATGATCATGGCTTGATTTTGAATTATTTAATTAACCACTTAAACTCTACCGGGTCCGTGACGTCATCGACGTTCGCTTTCAGATTTAAAGTTTTCAGTTCTGTAGTTGATTGTCACAAACATTCCTGTTCAAAATAAGCAGAAAAAAGCAAGCACTGGGGATTTGTTGCTTTTTTCCTGTTGTATCGAACCTGTATTGATTCATGACCCCACTGCTGAGGTACATGCCAAACAGTGACTTCTGTGTACCTTTAAACCTTTATATATATATACAGTAAAAGTCAGAATTATTAGCCCCCTTGATATATTCTTCCCCTGTTTATTTTTTGCCCAATATCTGTTAAACGGACAGAAGATTTTTTTAAACACATTTTTAAACATAAAAGTTTTAATAACTCATTTCTAATAACTGATTTATTTAATCTTTGCCATGATGACAGTAAATAATAGTTGACTGGATATTTTTCGAGACCCTTCTATACAGCTTAAAGTGATATTTAAAGGCTTAACTAGGTTAATTAGGTTAACTAGGCAGGTTAGGGTAATTAGGCAAGTTATTTTATAACGATGGTTTGTTCTGTAGACTATCAAAAAAAAATAGCTTAAAGGCGCTAATAATTTTGTCCTTAAAATGTTTTAAAAAAAAATTTAAACTGCTTTTATTCTAGCAAAAATAAAACAAATAAGATTTTCTCCAGAAGAAAAAATATTATCAGACATACTGTGAAAATTTCCTTGCTCTGTTAAACATGATTTAGGAAATATTTAAAAAAGAAAACAAAATTCAAGGGTGGCTAATAATTCTGACTTTAACTGTATATATGTACAAAAGGCATGATTGGATATCAGAAATAATAGAGTTTTAATAGATTTAGCTCGCATCTGGAGGCTGGAGACAGATTTGCACTCTTAAAGTAAAACATGTAACAGAGATACTGCAGTGATGCAAATGGAGCTAATTTGTTTTCGAAACATTTCCTGAATTCATCAGGGAAATTAAAGAGCTCAAATGAGCAGAAGAACTAGTTCTGAGTTTAATCTGTGATCAGTTTCTTAGTTTATTGAGAACTGCATTCTCATTTTCTCAAGTTTTTGGGTTTGAGCTGCAGAATCACATCATGTTTCTTATTTTAAAGTATTTTATTAAGCCTTATCATATGGCTGTCTGGAATGCTCGTTTCTGATTGGTCAGTCAGGACATTATATGGTATGTTATTCCCAAAAAACAACCGCTAAATAACACAGGCTCATCTGGGAACTTCAAATCACATTAACCATATTAAGTGTGTGTGTGTGTGTGTGTGTGTGTGTGTGTGTGTGTGTGTGTGTGTGTGTGTGTGTATATTAGGGCCGGAGTGGGACTCCTTTTCAGCTCAGGAGTTTCAAGCCTTAGACTGGCCCACCTCAGTCGACGACTGACTATATTAAAATAACGTTAACCAATTCAGTTTTAAATGACACTAACACGTCTTTTCAAGGACACAGCTGCTTTAGAACTTCAATTTTTTCATAAATATGAGAACATTAATTCTTTATAGACATCCAGTCCTGTGTAACGGTCGTCACACAAAAAAAAATAATTAATTAAAAATAAATAATAAAAATAAATAAATAAATATATATATATATATATATATATATATACCCCTACATAAGTAACCCAAACAGTATTATATGCTTTATAACTAAAAATGAAAAAAATTATTAAATATTTTACTTTGGTGAAGTTTGAACCCAGGTCGGCAACGTTGTAATGCAATGTGTTAACCACTAGACCACAATGACATTGTTAAGCTAGTGTGTTCGGGATAAAGTATAAGTATTGCACTGTTATCTGCTGCCAATGATGTCTAGTCTTTATTTTAGCTTACTATTTTTCTCCCATTTTTATATTTCTGATCAAGTTATATCAGATTTATTAATGCAGTGAATCAACTGATTGTCATTGAGCAGGTGTAATATTCATTAATATTAATTAATATTCACTAAGGTGCCGCTGTTTGGGGTGGAATGATAGTTAAGTTACATCATCATTACCTGCAGACAGTGCAACTGCTGAGAGCGCAAGCAGCTAGGGACACCGGCCCTCACGGCCAAAAAACGGACCGGCCCACCGGGAATTCTCCCGGTCCTCCCGATTAGCCAATCCGGGCCGGATATATATATATATATTCCCAGAGGTGGGTTGTGGCTGGAAGGGCATCTGTTGCATAAAAATGTGCTGGATAAGTTGGCGGTTCATTCCGCTGTGGGGAAAAAGGGACTAAGCCGACAAGAAAATGAATAAATGAATGAATGAATATATATATATATATATATATATATATATGGCAAGGTCATGAGTTTGGTTCCCAGAAAAGACACATACTGATTAAAATGTAAACTCTTTATGCACTGCAGGCAACTTTGCATAAAAACATCAGCCAGATGAACAAATGTAAAAGTATAAAAAAATCAAACTGGTGAAAAAGTCTTTCACATATTCAGCTGCGTGTGCTAAAGCCGTCACACAGGGTCATTTTGTAAAACGATGTGTTTGATAATAATTAATATCTCCTGCTCTGCTGAGCACTTTGGCTAACGATGACGAAGCGCCATGAATAACCAATCAAGATCTATTGTTTTTACACAAACGCCAACAGAGAGCTGCAGACAGATGCATGCATGACCACACCATATGGATTGTGAGAGAATGAGTGTGTGTTTATGTGCGCGCACACACCATCTGCAGGAGTTTATCCAGTGTGAACGACTCCTTCAAGAACTGCTACAAACCATCATTTCTGTAACTAATCCTGCAAGATAGAGAAGCGTCTCACTGTCTACTGACTATAGAGCACTTCCCTTCTTAGGCACCCTAATAGATGAGTGACGGGCACACATGCAGCGAGACACATCGCTCAGGAAAGCATGAAAGGAAAAAAAATGAGTCAACAGAAATTCTGCTAAAAGAGCTGATTTCCTTTTTGACAATGATTGTGTTTTTTTGTAATCCAAAATAAGCGGTGCTTACCTAAAAAAGGTGCTTTTTCATATTGCAATTTGAGACAAATCAAAAATAAAACAAATAATACAATAACAATACAAAAATAAAACATTTGCTGCTCTCTCAAGTTAATAAATGCATTGCTGCAAAATAAAAGGGCGAGAGGGGAGTTTGAGCTCAGGTAGGTATCCAGAATTAATAACAAATTATAAATTGCTTTATAGAGATATACTGCTGGTTAAGAGCTTGACTATAGTGCTAATTTAGATTGATTAATTCATTAATGACACATGTAATTCATTAATGACACATGTAATTTGACTGTGGGAAAAAACCGGGGGAGACCCACACAAACACAGGCGTCATCGACTTTCGCTTTAAGATTTAAAGGGCTAGCGTTGCACCAGACCCCCGTAAGTGGTGTCGTTTGAAAGTGTAGACTCTATATTTTATGCACATATGCATCACTTTGGTTTTTATTCTACTGTACAAAAGTTATTTGATGAGACTGTTTATTATGACAACTTGACATAAACAAGTTGTCTTTATCTTTGTCATGACAGCTTGATAGTACTAAGACGACATAACTTGTAATAAATCCATCATAAACATGACTGTCATGAGGCGTTATAATTGTTCATTCATTCACTTTCCTTCCTTTGTTCATCAGAGGTCACCCCAGCAGAATGAACCGCCAACTTATGTTTTACACAGTGGATGCCCTTTTAGCTGCAACCCAGTACTGGGAAACACTCATACACCCTTATTCTCACACTCGTACACTATGACCAATTTAGTTTATTTAATTTCTCTATAGCGCATGTGTTTGGACTGTGGGGGAAACCTAAGCAGCCGGGGGAAACCCACGCCAACATGGGGAGTACATGCAAACTCCACACTGAAATGCCAACTGGCCCAGTCGGGACTCAAACCAGTGTCCTTCTTGCTGTGCTTCTACGCACCGAGCCACCCTGTTGGTGTCTGGGTTGTACTGGGTTGGGTTGCAGCTGGAAGGGCATCCGCTGCATAAAACATATGCTGGATAAGTTGGTGGTTCATTCCACTGTGGCGACCCCTTATGAATAAAGGGGCTGAGCCAAAGGAAAATGAATGAATAGAAACTCTCGGTTTTTGCTGACTTTAATATTGCACCTAAAATCCTGCCGATAACATTTTTGCACCACACTTTCACGGGCATGTGTGTTACCCTATACACCCCTATAGGAATGCTGTTATTTCCGCATCGATCTCCTAAATCACAGTTTATTGATTCACTTCTGCTTTATTTTCATTAGAATAAAGAATTTCCAGCTCCATCTCTCTCACCCTTTGTGTCTTTACACTTCCAATAAACACACACACACACACACACACAACACTAAACTCTCTCTGACCATGTAACCAGCGTGGCTGAGCCTGACTAATTTAATTAGACTCAGTCTGTAATTATTCACTTTAAAGAGAAATGAGGGTTATGATCTTGTCCATTACAGACATGACAAGAGATTTAAGGAGC